GTCAGCGCCGCTAACAGAAAACATACAGCCACTGTGCCTGACTCAGGTATGTTATATTTCAACGCCTCAAGGCGCCGTCAGCAGCCCCTCTATTTTTACAACAGTGCCATGACGTCTGTGGTTAAAAGGTCGGGCTGGAGTCAGGGTATAGTCAGGGCACTATTGGTAGGTGGCTAAAACATGGGCCACCAGGGTAGGGTCAGCGTGGTGTGGGATGGTGACCTTGAGTCTGTGGTCCAGGGTCATGGAGCGGATGATCGTAGCTTCAGCGTTCTCGTTGCCACTCCACGCTCTGTAGGGACGATACGCACACGATACTTATCTTATTTATGACTTGTTTCCTTCCTAATATGTCAGCCGAAAAACATTACTAGAAAACATAGTTAGAAAACCAATAAGTTGATAAATGAGACCTGAGCAGCATTTGGGTACCTCTATGGAAACGTTTAGCTACGCAGTGGCTTCACTTGCCCTGGACTGAAGAAGCCTCTGACGAAAAGTTTCCAGGATAAAGATACCCAACTGATACCCAAGTGTCTTATCAACATTCTCTAACGTCATCAACTTAAGATATGCAACATAAACAAGTTCTTTCTTGAGAGAAATCAGTACAAAACTTAACTTTTTTATTGTTTACTTTCCCGAGATTCACTAACTTTAGTTACATGACTTTTTCTAGCATTATTTACAACATAAGCTTTCCAGGTATATATACCTTCTAGCGACACCGTTGGAGACATCCCAGTTGAGTGTGAGAGAGGCGCGGTACTGTGCCTCTTCTGAACCATCCAGGACCAGACCAAACCCTCCGTTGATTACCTCACCCCTGTCAATATTGCCCAGTCATTAATGTTAATATTTTCTCCTCTAACAAAATCAATAGACCGCGACGTGAATGGCTTCTGGCATGTTAGATTAAGAAATAAGGAAAGAACCCTAATACTGTCTTGTATATTGTAAGGTATCCCAGAAGAGGACCTTTACGAGTCTGCCATTTGGCTTAAAAATTTCAGATCTTGTAAATGATATCGAAGATCGAAATCTTGGATCTACTGGTAAGTTCACTTGCACTATGACTAAAGTGTTCGAACACTTTCCCAGCATCTTGGAACAGCTTGGTTAGCTCCCAAAACTCTCAGTAACTAAACTTCAACGTTTAAAGAGGAGCCTTCAAGATGATGGCAGACGGAGGCTCATGAACGTAGGTTCAGATATGGTCATTTTATATGTAAAATCAGTCCCATTCAATCAAGTTGAATTAATTTTGGTTTACCCATCTGCACGGCTTCAGTATTTAATATCTGCCACATTTTCGGGCCAAGACAGAACCCGTAAAGTCCTGTTTACATGCTGCTAAATTTGTTGAAATAGAATAGTTTATCTGGAGTTTATCTGGAGAGAGTTCCGGGGGTCAACGCCCCCGCGGCCCGGTCTGTGACCAGGCCTCCTTAGGTCAGTGTCCCAGGATGCGACCCACACCAGTCGACTAACACCCAGGTACCCATTTTACTGATGGGGAACATAGACAACAGGTGGAAAGAAACACGTCCAATGTTTCTACTCTGGCTGGGAATCGAACCCAGGCCCTCGCCGTGTGAAGCGAGAGCGTTAACCACCAGGCCACCAGAGCCCTAGTATAGTAAAAACAAAATGGAATCGTTTGAATTTATGCCATAACTAGAGAACGACTCATCTGATCGACTTCAAAATTTTCACCACTAGTGAGGTTTCTGGAACAAGTTGGAATAAGCCACAACTTTTTTGCATAGATAACGATACAGAGTTTTATTCACTAACTCGACAATGATTTATCTAACTGGTTTCAGAATATTGTAAACATTGTGTGAAGATGATGCGCTTCTTCTTAAAGATGCAAATTGAAAATTTTACTGAAACCGTTAATAAGACAGTCGATTGAGTCTGATTACCGGTGTGTGTGTGTGTGTGTGTGTGTGTGTGTGTGTGTGTGTGTGTGTGTGTGTGTGTGTGTGTGTGTGTGTGTGTGAGTGTGTGTGGGAAGCTTCTTTGCTATAGAAAAACGTGAACGACATGATATATGTTACTGTTCTGTGTCTTAGTCAGCGAGTGATGGCTCATCTATGTCTGGAAGAGCATGTCAGACGGCTTATGGTTTATGAAAGACTATCAAAGCATGTAAAATAGCTTTTGATAGCTGTGCATGGAGGCAGGAACGTACGGGGTGACATACACACCACTAAACTGCATACGAAATCGTAATGACAATTGGAAAAAAAAAAAAAAAAAAAACAACCATACCACGGGTTGGGTTTGAACCCGCGATCAGAGAGTCACAAAACTCCAAACCGATGCGCTAGCCACTCTAAATATTCAACAAAATACGAACGATTTTTTCCCCAATATGCATTTCTTAAAAAAGAATTGCAACATTAACTATTTTCTAATAACATCCAGTTACCTACCTAAAATAAAACACCAAAAGACAATTTTTTAAGTGCGGTCTTAAGTGTTAATTCATTTATAACCAATGTTGTAACTTACAAACAATTAGTACCAATCTATTTAATGGAGATTCCTCAGCTACTGTCCATAAAATGATTTCAATTACTTTCAATGTTTCAGAGCTGCTCATTTACTCCTAACTTGATTACATTTTTTTTATTCAGTGCAATAATTACTTCGTGTCTGCCATAACGTCAAAGTCACATCAGAAAAACTACACCATAAGGTTTATAATAATAATAAACTCTTATTTACACATTTAGAGGAAGTTATAAAACCGTATGATTCAATGGAAGGGGACCAACTTCATTCCAGGGGAGATATATATCCAGTTCATAGCATCAAGAGCCCCTCACTGGCATCAAGGAACCTCCGTTGAGGTGCTGCAGAACATCCGAAAAGTGTTTTTGCCAATTCCATCCCATTAGAGGTTGTTAATAGAATGTAAATGAGAAAACTGGAAAAAATAGTTTTTATGGCGTTTTTTAGTTTAAGGAAAGGGACGCCTGCTAATTTTCCGAATATTCTCAGCAAGACTTGTTACTGTCACAAATTTTGTTTACTCGAGAATGCCTTTTTCGATAAGTTACAAATTTTCAACGCTTGTGTACTGGATCTTGAGCAAGATTCATGGGAGTATTTACATGTGTGGGTGACCTTGGCACTATGTTACACAGGCCATTCCCGAATTAGGTTTCCATTTGAGAACTGGAGAGAAGCTCCTCTGACCAGCTTTATAATGTCAGAAAAAGGGTGGTAAATTTAAAGGCGTGCAGGCGCCATTATGTCACTGTTAATCTCAAATTAGTATAGAATTATTTTACAGTATTGCAATATTTTTCCATGATGCTGGTGAAGGGCTTTTGATCCAATGAACTGAGATTATTTTACCTTTCCTTGAATCGAAGTTGAATGCCACTCATTCCACAGGTACAGTGATTCCTGAAAGGCTTAGTGCTTTCCTCTGATTAAAATACAGTAAGGGTGAAGAAAAAACCTGTAATTGTTTTACATAATGGTAGGATTGCTGGTATATCTTGCTACATATATTTACGATGACGTCAGACTACACATTAATTTACATGTATATGTATACACTCATCTGAACTTTCTAATATTTTCTTAATATTTCTTCGTATTTTTCTTACATCTCCATGGGGAGTTTTGATCCAAGTGAGAGTAACTGTAATAGGTTATAGATTGCGAGGTAGATAAGTCTGGAGTGCCAGGGGTAAGTGATAATTGAGGACATTTGATTAAACTTTGTTTAGAAAGAGGTTTGGTAATATGTAATTCTTATTTTAACTGAAAGGGGGATGTTAGGTAAGACACATATGCAACAGTTAGACAACTTCATTCCGAAACGTTTCGCCTACACAGTAGGCTTCTTCAGTCGAATACAGAAAGTAGGCGGGAACAGTAGAGATGTGAAGACGATGTAATCAGTCCATCACCCTTGAAGTCGTAGAATTTGAGGTTCTCCAGGCTGAGGGACTGACAACCTCAAATTCTACGACTACAAGGGTGATGGACTAATTACATCGTCTTCACATCTCTACTGTTCCTGCCTACTTTCTGTATTCGACTGAAGAAGCCTACTGTGTAGGCGAAACGTTTCGGAATAAAGTTGTCTAACTGTTGCCTATGTGTCTTACCTACCAACCTGTCGGTATTTTATGCCATTTTGATGAAAGGGGGATAAATAAGTAATGTGTAATGACAGTAATTTATTTGTTCAGTAAAGGATGTTGGGTAGATCTCTGAATATTTAGGGAGGGGCAACAAATATATCAGATAATATTTTAGCTGTAGCTTCAGTGAGAGCAAAAGAAAGATGAGATGCAAGGAGAATGGCATTAACTAGTAAGAGAAAGTTTATAAACTAAAGGAGGATTTATTTAGGGCAAGACAAACAACTATTGTGAGAAAGGACTAGTGAAAGTATAAGTAATGAAGTTGAAGAGATATGGGGTATATTTAACAATGTTAGTGTGTTCAGCAGATGTGTGGATATAGGACGGTTGAGGCGGGAGAAAATATTGATGGGATGATGAGGTAAAGAAAGTGGTAAGAGAAAAGTTAGCATATGAAAGTTTTTCCAAAACAGAAATGGTATAAGGAGGGAGGAGTATATAGAGAGAAAAGGAGAGGATAAGAGTGTTATAAAGGAATGAAAAAAGACAAGAAATGAGAGAGTGGGTGAGGTGCAATCAGCAAATTTTGCTGAGAAAAAGAAAGTTTTGTAGTGAGATTAATAAGTTAAGAAAGCCTAGAGAACGATTGGATTTGACTGTTAAAAACACAAGAGGAGATTTATTACATGAGGAGTTAGAGGTATCAGGAAGGTGAAGGGAATATTTAGGAACTGTTAAATGTTGATGAAAAGAAGGAAGGTATAACATGTTTTATGAGTGAGAAAGGTGTGTGGGGAAGCTGCACGGGGCTGTGGACAAAATAAAAAGGAGTAAAGCAGCTGGGACTGAGAATAATAACTATAGAGGTGGTTCGGACATGCAGAGAGAATGGAACAAAACAGAATGACTTCGAGAGTGTATAAATCTGTAATGTAGGGAAGGCGGGGTAGGGGTCTGCCTAGAAAGGGTTGGAGGGAGGGGGGTGTAAAGGTTTTATGTGAGAGGGTCTTGGACTTCCAGCAAACGTGCGTGACTATTTGATAGGAGTGAATGGAAACAAGTGGTTTTTAGTACTTTGTGCGCTGTTGGAGTGTGAACAAAGTAACATTTTTTGAAGGGCTTCAGGGAAACCGGCAGGCCGGACTCGAGTCCTGGAGATGGGAAGTACAGAGTCTGCACTCTGAAGGAGGGGTGTTAAAGTTGCAGATTTATAACTAGTGTAAAGCACCCCTCTGGCGAGACAGTGATGGAGTAAATGATGGAGAAAGTTTTTCTTTGTTGGGTCACCCTGCCTTGGTGGAAATCGGACGATGTGTTAAAAAAATTATAGGAATAAGCCTGTTGGGCATAGGTGATAGTGTGTATGGTAGTTATATTGACAGAATTAAGGGTATGATGGAGAGCAGGATCGGAGATTAGCAAGGAAGCTTTAGGAAGGGTAGGGGGTGTGTAGACCAACTGTTTACAGTGAAGCATATAGGTGAACAGTATACAAGGGTAAAGCGAGTTTAGTTGGATTTATTGAATTGGAAAAGGCAGATGTTGAAGTGGATAGAGAGGCAGTGTGGCAGGTGTTGCACGTATATGGAATAGGTGAAAAGTTACTGAAAACAGTTAAGAGTTCTTACGAAGGTTAAGGTATGTAGGAGATGATTATAATAATAATAATAATAATAATAATAATAATAATAATAAATAATAATAATAATAT